CCCCCCCCCCCCCCCCTCCCACCAATTTATCGCAAACGCTAAAGTCTCCCGGAACAAGCGTACATGCACGCTTTGAAGGACACGAGCATGCTAAAGGGAGTTAAAGAGATACCACACTTTGATTGTGCAAGTACACTCTCTGGCCGTCTTGCCCCTACCCGCATCCAAGTTATGCGTGGCTAGCATGCAGTGGTCAATTAACGTCCGCCGGACAACGCATGAATATGAGGACAAAAGCATGTATGATGACGTGCTCTTCTTGTAGTCCCCACCAATGCAACAGCATCAGGCTTCATCTGCGTCGGTGCAGTATCTTCCTAGAAGCAACACTCATGCAAAGCCACATGCCTGGGTGGGAATTCTTGACAGGGGCCAGCAGTGGCTCTTTTATGTGGTACTTTAGGATTGGTGGACCAAAAAACCATCTGCAATACTGCCTCGGCGGTAGGTTGATCTTGAAGAGGCCGGTGTTGAACTTGCAGGGCCAAATGCGCAACGACTTATTCTATACCGTCCCTACAGCCGTCTTATGGGAAGTTTATCAAGAGAAGTACGGTTTTGGTGCAATTACAAAGAAAATGCCGTGAGACAGGGACAAGAGGCCACTCACCGCCATCTTTCAGAACTGGGGTTTAGGGTTTAGGGTTACTAATCCAGATTGGGGATCTGTTTGCTCTGGGTTGCTAAGAGTATCATTCGGGCGGAGGAGAGTAGACAAGGACCCTCAGCAGTTTCTGTGTGTTTAAAAGTACTATTCTGGCAACAATATAAAAGGTACTGCGATATCGTACTTGCAAATGACATCATTACCATTCTGTTAAAGGGTTTAACAGTATCATAGTAACAAGCCTTTTCATCGGGGGGTATATTGAGCATCATGAGCATGAGGCCCGCCTAAAATCAAGTAAGAAGCCTATTCAGGAACCTATGTTATGCTTTCAGTAAATTGCCGCAGGTATCCTAAGGATGGAAGTACTGGTAAGCCTCAAGGGTCATTTTGCTGAACCCTCTTCGATGCTGATTCGGACTGGTCGATGTCTTCCCCTAGGCCTTGCCCCAACCTCTGCCATACAAGTGGTTTTGGATTCCCGAAAATCGTGACCAGAGCCATAATGCCAGTTCCCAAAAGCACCGGCCCCAAAGTATGTACCCAATGACGACTTCTCAAATCATTGGCTGGCTTCAGGCATTGAGGTCAGACCCATTGGCAGGGATCCGAAGTTTGAGATAATCCTACATGGTGAATCAGGGTGTCTCTGCAAAAATAAACCCTAAATTGTAATTTCCATGTGTTTCCATTTTATTTTCCATTATCCCAATAAAAGCCCCAATATAATGTAACTCCTACATAATCCCAGCTTCCATTTCATTTTCCATTTTCTTTTCCATTTGATTCTCCAGTATTGGGTACCATTGTATCCCCGAATAAAATATTACTCACAACTGCAAAATCCCACGTTACCGTCTTCCAGCCTTTGTCGTCGGCTTCAGTAGAGGCTCCTCCTTTTCACCACCGAACCGCGGATCCTGCCAGTGGCCGGCGCTTGCAGGGGACGCAGCATGGTTTAGTACTAAATGAACTCTGAAGTGGCATCAAATACCCTGCATGACTTGAAACCATGTGAAGGTACATGTACGACAAACCGTCTACTAGTCCCCGCGCAGGGAGATGTATCCCGTTTAGAGTTCAGGCTTCGCAGGCAGTAGGCGTGGGCCGTCAGCAAACTCAACACTCTACCTTTTTTCAGGTCGTTATACATTGTTGAAATACTGATCAAATGCTGGGAGAAGGTGAGGGTGTCTTGACTGCATGGGTAACAGACATAGAAGCCGCTGTGCTAACGAGAGCCATCCCTTTCGAAAGCAACTGAAAACAGCCTACTTTGTCTGCACCGCGACAGGTCCCTCAAAAAACTAACAGGATCCTACTGGTTCTAAACATTTTGATGTTACAGCCACAAGCCTCAACATGACCCTTGTGCAAAGGCAC